CTTCATACAAAATTGTAACAAAATAAGCAAAATGGTGGGGGGAGAGAAGTTGCTCAGTGTTTATACCGTGAACATAAGACTAGTTAACTTAAAAAATGAGTGCTTCAACGCCCCCAATTTTTTCCATTGAAATTACTTTCCTGATAATTCGTATTAGACTACATGTTTATGCTCAAGCAGAGAAATCTAGAAAAATGCAAGGTCATAGTATATAAACATGGAACTTTATTTACTTTTCAGATTTTGTTAACATCATTATAGCTTTTGAATTTAAACTTAATATTTGCCACAGATAAGAATTGTATGATGAGCTGCTTCATCATTATTTTATATCAATTGAATGCACCGCAACCAAATCGATATAAATTCTATTCAGAGATTCTATGCCTATACTTAAATACTTTATTTCACGGATGAGTCCATTTTCTTCCAAACCAGATAAAAACTGACTTCGTTGCCACAGACGATTATTTTTGTCTTTCAAACGAAACGTGATGAGCATTTTTAATTACGAAAATCTTCATAAAACTTTCTGATCCATACTATTTTCGTATTTTGACATCAATTAGTGAAACATTAAATGATATACAATCGTAGTAGGTAAAAAAATGAATATGAAGTATAAACTATTCACAGTGTAATGATATATTTTTATTATAGTAGGTTATCCCTAAATTAGATAACTAAGAAAACCGTTACAATAATTAAATATTATTAAAATTAAAATACAAACAATTGTTACCAAATTTAGGTAAATATATAAAACAAAATCATCTAATTAAAAATATTTGTGGAAACTGGTTACGTACTTATAACTTTAATTTAAGTTCTAAAACCACAGTTTTTTTTTGTTTTATCTACTTTAATTTTTTATATGTACAATATTTACATAAATATGTTAAACTGAGGTAAACTGCAAACACTAGTACACAACAAGTAAATTAATTAGAACTATCATGTCATAGAAAGTGACTATACTCTTTGTTTTTTCAATTACAATCTAAAGTAGATACTATAAAAAGTGATTTTAAAAGAAAATTGTTCCCTTTCAAACGTATAGCCTACCTAAGAACATGCCCCTTTCATCCCCTTAATCGGGGATTACTTTTAAGTGTGTATCCACAGTCACGTCCTAACAACTATAATAATAATAAGTTTCTTCACGTGAAAGATTTTACAATGGTCTGAATTATTTTATTTTAAATTATTGTTGTTATTTGTTTATTAACGCTTACACAACCGGTTTTTATATATTAGAATAGGTATTACAAAATATTGGTATATAACACAATAAATATTCAAGACAACGGTAAATTAACCAAACAACGAATTAAGCTAAATTAACAATATAATTACAAGTTTGGAGCACTAAACTAAGTTTAAAATTTAAATTCATAGAATTAGCATAAAGTATAACTATACTATCTACATTATTTATTTAGGCTAATTGTGGTCATATTAGGTAGTGCGAGAGGGGATATTAAAGTGGGAATGGTTTTGGACTTCTGGATAAGTATGCAGGAACACGGACATATATCCTGGGTAAAAGGTAACTATTCCATTAGCCATTTAGTAGAGAGGTAATAAAATTAAGGTTAGCATTTAAACGGTAAGAACCAAGCGTGGAAATTTTCAGTGTACTGCTTATAAGTGAGTACCTATAGTCAATAGTCATGACGAGGGTGATCAACTGTAGCGATATGGGCAACGTAGACGATAAATTTGTTTTGGATGCGTTCAATTCGTAGTGGATCCTTGGCCAAGTATTGGGTAGACAGAACTAAACATTTTAATATTAGGCTTTATTTAACCCTATCCCGAAAATGTTGTGCCTTACAAGTGGTGATATTAATGTGAAATATATATAGAAATGAGGTAAATTCCAAGGTATATTTAAAGAGAAATAATGATTAAGAGGAATACTATTAAGAGAATAATAATTGTGAGGGATAGTGAGGATCAATATGACACCTAGCAATAAAGTCATGACATGACATTTTTCATAATTCAGCCTTGAACCAAAACGATTGGGCCAAGTGTGGAAAATAACTATAGCTCGGATTTAAGTGTGTGTTTGACAATAACTAGGAATGTAAATTTCTAACTAAATGTTCATATCGTTACAGAAGAGAAGGAATTTAGCACAAGTGACATATTTAGTATTGTTTGTAATGCTATTGTTTATAGTATTGTTTAATATTATTAAATATGAAAAGAAAGATGTTTTAAATTATCACTTTGAAGAACACCGAAGTCTGAAACAAATGTAATTTCGAACTGAAACTGAATTAAGGACCCTGGTGTATTGTTGACTGTTACTGATGAAGGATTTTATCCGGAAAAGTAGCATTTAGCAGATTCCTACGCCGTTTCAGGTTCGCAGAATAGGATACCATATATTATGTATAATGAAACATTACAAATTAAAATGAACATAGCACACATGTCTAAACAGTTATTTTATGTATCTACTGCATATTATAATATTATGATATGTTCTAAATTTCAAATTACTCATTCCGTCTAACACTTTTTCGGGAAATTGTACTGCCAAACTTTGTGTTGTTTGTTGGGAAATCGGAGTAACTGTAATAAATAATGAGATTCGTATAAATTGTGAATATATACGTACCTCTATATAAATCTTGACTGTGGTTTCGGTTTATCCATTAACTGAATACTACAACACAGTGCTTATGCTTACATTAAATTGTTGCGAGCGAATGCATTTAAATAATTCATGGATCATTCCGTTTTCTTTTTAAATGTTACATTGTTACGTAAATGTGTAATAACAAAGAAATAAACAATAATATCAGTAGTTCTGCAACACTCCACATAAATCCGCTACCCATCAGATGCTATACCTATAACTATTCGCGGAATACGAATTACGAATAATAGTGTTGGAATATATTATAGCGCTGAATAGCCTGACATTATACTTATTTATACTATAATACAGTAGGTACCTACTATTTAATTCAGTGTTTGAATTCATATTTAGTGAAACGTCACTCATGTCTTATAAATAAAGTGTGGACGTGAACAAAATTCATATTTTTAGATAGAATCGAAACGTTTATAGGCCGTTCTAACCTACTTACATACAAATAATTAATTAAAAATACGTACCACCTATAGTAATTCATTTTTAAATAAATAATTTAATAAACGAACCAATGAATAATCATTGACATTGATCAACCTTTGAAAAAATAAATGAAACAAGAATGCGAACGTAAACGAGTTAATTGTGTATACTGACATTGAACTTGAACGAGTTCAGATGTTAAGTGATCTTTCAAATCACGACTATTTAGGTATGATAACATCGTGTCCAGTGCTCGTTTCTCGAAGTCCAAGACTTGGATTGTCGAACTAGAGTTTCGGTTAACACTTAGTATAGTTTTATATACTTATGATGTTTAGAAAAATTAATATTCTCACTTGTTCTCTTAGAATTTCATCATCAACCAGAATTGTACCGGAAGAGGAAAGGTTTAGTCGAGACCGAAATACCTATACGTATTTTAATGTGGCCATGTGGGCTTGGGGTTTACGTATATATTATAATATGGTATGTATACTAGTACGACGATGCTGCATAATTAAATCGAATACCTACGTGGTCCAGAGATGTATTAATCGAAAACCAGTGGTCAATTAATTTATTCGAAAACCGATGGTCAATTAATTTTAGAATAATGAAAACCTATATATAGATGCCATAAGCTATACCGCATTACCACGTAAAGTCCATTGTCTACAAAAGTCACGTCATTGCCGCCGTCGAGCGGCTTTTGTTTCGGAGTCTCGTTTCGTTTCGTCGACGCGGCGGCGCGGAGGCGAGGCGTCTAGTTTTGTTTACTCGAACGGGCGGAGGCCTTTTTCCGTAATGAAAACGACTGTTGTAATAAAATTAATAATAAAAACATTTGACACGCTCCTCGGCCCCTGTGACACGCCAAACGCGTATAATATCTCATTTCGGGCGTAAAATAATATTTACCGTCGGCGAGGCGGTGCTGTGTTCATGCCGTATCATGAGCGTGCCGGCCCGGTGTCGTTATAATGTTGTAATGTGTGCGCGCGGTCGCTGCTTTACGGAAAACTCATGCAGTGCACACACACACGGCACACGCTCCGACAGGGGCAGTGGCAGGGGCGACGCGCCGTCTTAAATAGATAATAAATAACGGTCGCGCGTGTGGGCGCCACGCCGGGCGGGAGGGGCGGAGACCATATTGGCGGCGGACGAGCGAGCGACGTTTGCGTCACATAATATAATAATATTATATTATTATATATTATATTGGCATAGCCGCCGCCGTCGCCACCGCCGCCGCCGTTGCCGGGCAAAACACGCGAGTGCCAACATACACGGCTACGGCGGTGGCGGTCGTTTTATGCTCAGTCCGCGAAAAAGCGCCGTGCACGCCGTACGCGTACACGCGCGCGACATCGTATTGTACGGCCGATCGTCGTCGTCGCTGTCGCAGTCGCCGCCGTTTCCGAAAACGTATAAACGCTTGACACTGGCGGCCGCTACTAACAACTAGAGCTTTATTATACGTTCTATAATTGTTGTTATTGCTGTTGTTGTTGTTGTGTAGTGGCTATACACGCGTGTTTTACCGGTCACGCGAAGAGACCACAACGCGGCCGCTGGAGACGTGCCCGAGTATAATGTAATTGCAGAGAAACCGCCTGCAAATACCGGACATTCTCGGTCGCTGAATTCTTTTGGTTCGTAATTCATTGCCGAAAAAACGTCCGGTATCTGGAAGGGTCTGTTACTAGGTGAGGTTTCACCTTGCATTATAATAAACTATCTCGACCGATCTCGAAGCGCGTCATCGCTGTCAACGACGGCGGCGGCCGCGACGTTAGCCGTGGCCATCACGGCGGCCGCTGCCGTGGCGTGGTACGCTTCCGACAGTGGTCCGCCGCTGCCACCGACGCCGGCGGTGGCGGACACTGTGCTGATCCACGCAATCATGTGCGCGTGCCAATTGTTCGCGTTTACGGCAGTCGTGTACGTCCTGTCCACGTGCTGCGGGGTGCACGTCATACGCGCGGCCACCTGCCGCGGCGGCAGGCGTACCGCTTGTCACCGCTACCCCGGCGGCCCGTTGTCCGAACCCGTGACCACTCGAGACTCCGACTCTGCGGAAGGCCTGCGCCACGACGGTGGCCACCCTTCGCAGACGTGCGCCGACAACCAAGTGCCCTACCGACGCAGGAAGATCAGATCCGCCGCGCCACTGTTACAGCGGTAATGATGAATGTTGGCCTGCGGGTTTGACTACGCCTGCAGCGTTTTCCGGGAGCGGGATTTGACCACCTGCACGATCGTTAGTCATTACCAACCCTCAGGACTATTTTCTGGATGTTTTTCATTAATACGCAATAATAATCGTTTTATATTACATTGCAGGGTACATACCCACATACCTACTTTGGGAACTTTATGTACAGGTAGTAGGTACACTGTGTAATGTGTATGTACGAAGTGCCATAATATAGTAATCCACGATTCCTGGTGGCTATATCACTCTTTTTCCCATCAACGTGAGCTTTGCGTATGAATGTATGATGCCTACCTCCTATACCACCTACTTAACCAAATAGGTATAACTGCAATAATGAAGTGATACATAGGTGTCTCAGTCCCACACAAAACTACAAATGTATTTGGTATAATAATATATCGTGTACTAGTAGGTATACGATTGCACATGTATAGTAGTGCGGGGGCCGGGACTCTGGGATATTTAAACATGTCAATAATTTACATATATTATACATTTAATATGCGTTGTACCCCGTGGAGTCTCCCGAGCAGTTGTCTAACGTGAAAATAATAAGCATCTTATTGTTTTATTTTACAGTCAGACGGTTATTGCTTTTTTAAATATATTATATTATGTACCTAATTTAAAATATGCACCTTCGTTATATAGGACATCGGTATATATTATAAGAAGGATGTATATTGTATAATATATAATATATACATTTTTAGTACATGATATATATTCACTTGACATAACTTATTGTCATTATATAACTACCAATTAATATTTGTATTCATAATTACAATATTACATTACATAATATATGTACTGCATGTTACTTATAGATTTTACAAAATCTCCTTAAAAAACACGTAAATACTATCCATGTAAAAGTGTAAGGCTGTTTGGTAGTTAATAATTTTTCGTAAGCCATTACAATTTGCAATAATTTTAATCTCAATTTGTTAAATACATGTTATAAAGCATAATATAAAAAAAAATAATAATAATAATAATAACCAACAATAATATATGAATGTTATAATGACGTGATTCAGTGCGCACCTCTCGACGATCCTGTTTACGGTAGGTACTGATACAACGTGATAGAATGTTTCAACATTCAGCAAGATCATTTTCGTGGAAATAAACTTGTTGCTAGTCTAGAAAATGTATCTTTGAAAATTAAATTAAAAATCACGTAATTGAATTAATAGCTATGCGCGCACATTGTACCTATACGATTGAGATGAAAAGTTATGTTGCAATATTATACATACCGACGGGCTCTAATCATATTTCAATATTCCATCATAAGTTATTTTATCCAAAAATGTTACCTAATCTAAACTTTCAGGTACACAATTGAACAGTGCTTAAAAATAACTACTATTAGGTATACGATCACGATCTTAGCTAATCGGATCGCAATGAAACTGTTTATATACACTCTAGGTTACCTATATAGGGTTCACGACACCATTTGATGAACAAAAACATTTTATTAATATCCAACGCCATTATGAATAATGTCATACACACCACTTATCTAATATATTATTGTTGATGTGGTATTTCGGTGTTTATAGTATATATTTATGTATTTGATAGTTGATACATTAAACTTAAACCTATATAATGATATTGTGATTATATACTAAAAATATATATATGCTTCACAATGTCACCTAATACCTATGGGCTATGGTACACAAAACTTTCAAGCACTACAAATTTTAACTAATGAATTTTTCTGATTATCGAAAAGAAAATCACCATTGTTATAATTTGATAGTGGTACAATGAAATTGACACGTAGAAGCGTATAGAAGTATATTGTTACATATTGGTGTTTGAAGTGTACCTATATAATATATATAATTTATAATATTATAGTATTAACAATATAATATATATAGGTATCGCATGCGTCCACGTTTCAATACAATTTTTAATAGTACGTGTGAAATTCACACTGTGAATGCCTTATTCACAGCTAATAGATTATAATTCATAAGCATCGAAATGTAGGTAGTATAGGTACATACAAACGGCCCATAATGAATGCGGGCATTCAAATATTGGGTCACGACTCACGACATAGACTTCACTATCCACATTTATTAATCATATTGTTACTACTTACCTAGTTTAATACCATACAAATAAAAAATATATAAAAACTATTTTACTAAAATTATTATTGCACAATTTCATAAAATATGCTGTCTGGCACCTGTCATCGGTTTGATGTGAAATATTATTATAATTTGCTTAAAAATATAGGCACCTATGTAATAATAAAATATTATTCTACACTTTAATCGCATTTTGCATCACCACATATTAATACTTTATTTTGAGCTGAATATTTATTTACAAACCCATATAATATTATTGTGTAGGTAATAGGTGTATACATTCTGCTGTAAACTCGATATTCATTTTAATACGAAAAGGTTACCTATGGTAGGTATGTATCGTGCGGCTTTTACTTGAACATTGTATTGAAACAGCCACAAAAGTCCTTGAGAATAATTGATCAAATGCTTTATTGAGAACACTGTCAATACAATACTATGTGTGAGTAAAATGGTAAATTAAAATAAAACTGACTTTCATATGATTATGTTATTTTGTTAGACAAATTAATCAAAATTATATTAAAAAAAATAATAACATAGTATGATATTATTAAGCTATTTGCTTCGTATACCGTAGTTACACTATTTCAGTAGGTAGTAAAAATTACCTAACGTCGAGTTATTGTTGTTCCAAATAATACATTAGTATAGTATTTTAAACACAGTTATTGGCAACAGCTAACTATGAATACTTAGCCTGAAACTCGCATTTTATAATAGGTCAGTCCTCGAGAGTGTGTGTCAAAATATACTATTTAGTACCTATTTACAGTTAATTGTGTTCAATATGATGAAAAAATTCAAAATCAAGTTTTAATTTAAGTATTGATTATTGCTGTATTTAACCACACAGTGGATGATTTCTATTAGTCCTCGAGCGTTACTGCGTTAGATATAGGTCTACTGTACTGGGTAACTGAATTAAATTTATATCTACTAATATTTAAAGATTTATCATATAGTTTAAATACGATTTTATTAAATTTTAAAAACAGTCCTCAACTAAGTTGATTTTAATATTTTATGGTTTTCGATGTTCATATTACTAAGCAGTAAGCAGTGGGTAAGCCTATACAAATATGGGGACATGTAAACTCCGTCAGGAAAAAAAAAAGTAAAATTGAGTTCACGTATAAACTTCGTCAGTGAAAAAAATCAAGTAACAGTATAAAATTTATATAAGACATATAAAATCTAAATTTTTTATAATAATAATCATTCTCGTTAAATAAAGGTTAGGTATGTGTGTTTGCCAAAAATATAAAAATAATAGTTGTCCGAACAAATCACACAAAATGTATCTAGTGTACCTATATTACCTAGGTTCGTCAAAAAATCATAATAAAAAATTGTAATAATCATAAAATATGTAGGTATAGGTATGTTATGCTATGTTATAAATACTTTGAACTGTGAACTAAAATGATGCGATACAATTTGTCGATATTTTAACTCCTAAGTCCAATATAAATCCATTAGCATAATAAGCGTATAACTATTTATAACGTTCCCTAACAATATAATCGCTTTTTCCATTTTGAATTTTTGAGCTTATTTTTTTGAGGTATACTTAGAGCTGTACATTTTCAAAAACTGTGAACATTTTGAAAATTATTTTTTTGTTATGGAATTTGAATTGTTTATTTTTTTAAATTATAGGCCATTTGTTAATTATTCATTTAATCATTTATTCACTTACCAATTTATCACTTATAATAAAAAATGTTAACTGTTTAATATACTTTATTACTTAAAATTTAAAAAAAAAAAAACAGAATTTAAAATTAATTGAATCTTTATTAAGTACATCAGTACATGAATTGTATAATAATATATTATTTATATTATATTAAAATAAATTTTGGTATTTTCTTAAATCATCTGAAAATGTATATAGTTCTCTTCTTCCTATAGTTGGTGCACTTAAAATACATTCTATTTCATCAACAATTATTGATAATGTTTCTTCAATGAGTGGAAAAATGAAAGAATTAGTGGACTTTTTATCACTATCTTTATTATTACTACACAAGTGCAATTTTATAATTACAAATTACAAATTTTATAATTTTATTAAAAATTGAAAAATTGGAAAGAACTTAAAAAACTTCAGTTATTGAAAATTTTCAATGTTGCTGAAAATTTCAATGAAAAAAAAAATTTCCATTTGAAAATGTTCAATCTTACAGCTCTGGGTATACTATTAAAACTCCATAAGCAATACCTAACACTGGTGGAGTTTCTATATACGATGTACCCATTACCCATTACAGGTAAGAAAATAAAACCTGACAGAGTTTACATTAAACCTTTTCATTACTTTTTTATCTAACTGCGGTATTCTGGTCGAGTTGACAATCGCCCAAAAATATATAATAGTTATATAATATACACATATATATTTACTAGGTCTAAATATTACTACACATTAGTGGCTTTTCTAGCCACGATAATTATTTTTTAGAATATCTACAACAACAAAACCGATATGAATTTTCTTTTAGATTGTTTTGTTGTACGCTCGAGTGTTTTTCAATAGTTTTTTGTAATTTTCTGAAAACTTGGTGTTTGCAACTTTTAAATAACTTTTTAACTAATATTTCCCACTTCAAAACTATTTATCAAAAATCAAAAACCAAAAAATACATCATTTTAAAAATAATAACCAAACCCCCAGTCACCACTATTCAGAAGTCAGTATGAATAACAAGCCATACTTAATTAACTAATAATAACTACTGAATGAAATATCAGACATTTTTTTTTCATTATTATTATAAATACCTACATAGTTACAAAATAAATATTCTAACCCATTTAAACCGTTGTGGGCTACATTATAAGATAACGTACAAATAAATTGTTATCAATAATCAGCAGAATTCTAGAATGTTTTCTACTCAATTATTATTAGCTCATATTACAAATAATGACATTATTTGTGTTTGAATAACAATGTCTTAAGAATAAAATGAATAACATACACTTTGAATAATGTATTATATTTAATTCGTTCTTATTCCTTTCTTGATTTTCTGTTAAATGTATAGTAAAAGCTAAAAGGCTAGAAAAGTAAAAAATAATAGATAAAAAAAACCGCCTGCTTTATAGGACATTATAGGACACGAATGTAGGTATTTCTACACTGAGTAGGTTACTAGCTTAGTCACATTACAGTCAGTAAGTCTATACTTTTAAGTTTTAACTTCTAAGGATATTTTATAATACATTTACCTATATTGATATATGTAATTTATTTATCTATTAGTAATAGCCAATGCCCAATAAATCCAAAAGTTAAGGTTAAACTAATTTTTGTTATAAACTAATCGCACAATAATAAATAAAATTAGTAGATCTGATTTTCTACCAGAAACCAAACTGAAAGTTGGAGATCGAACCTTTTTTCTACCATAATAAGTGTTCAAACACTAAAATAAAAAAATAAAACACACATCGTTGGCAAAATCAATATATTTCTTTCTCCACTCAGAATCTTAAAAAACATATAATATTATACACGATTGGTGAATATCGGAAGTATAAATAATATATTTTTTAAATTGAGATTTTTCAATTTATTTTGTCGTAATTTATTGATGTACCTATATAATATTATACAGTGATAAATTTATAAATAATTTATTTATCGCAAATATATGTAAATTTAACAGTTTTCATGTTTTTTTGGACTAGGTACTGTAGGAAATTAGATTGAGGTGCTTTATACAACTTTTGGCAACCAAATCCTACTCTCTTTCTGAACAAAAGTGTGTATGCAAACATTAAAAAATAATAATAACGTTTTTGCTGCATCTCTCGGTTCTATAAATTATACTAAAATATGTGCTTGTCGTACTGCCTTAAAATTATGTTACTCAAGTATCATTGCCCATAGGTCATCATTGTGAAAATAATCATCTACATAATAATTAGTAATGTGCAGGATATGTAGGATATATTATCATCGTCATAACCACAAATTGCTATCAATAATAGATTCATTTTCCTTTTTGTTTTTCAGAATTAAATACTTCTGTCTTTATAACTTATATAATGGCATATATTTATGGATTGTGTGATAATAAGATGTCAACATGTCGTGTAGGTACTCATGTCTAGTGTTTACCATATAAGTAGGTATTTTATTTGATTAAATAGTCTAATATACAGAAAACCACGACATGCGATCCATCAAATAACATTTGTTTATAATTTATATTGGTATAATATAAGAGAAACAGAATTATAATTATCAATAGTTTTGAGTTATATATGAAGAGCACAGGGTCGTATGACGACAGAATCTCTGCAATTATAAACAGAAAATTGTTTGTTTGTACTTCGGCCGCCACTCACACAGAATTTTATAACTTTATGCAGGCTATACATGTACACATATAGGTACCTGCCAGCCTAACTATTCCTTTACTCGCATTATGTCAAAACTTTGAAACTTCAATACTAATTAGTAATTGTATACTTACTGGCAATAATTAATTTAACCATCACAAATTTTCAATAATTAACTCAATACGGCTATAGGTACATAAAGTTAGCCATCTTGATTTTGTAAGACACGTGAATAACGAAATTTAAATTAATTCTTATGAGTTATGAGCTTAGGTAAACGTAAGACATTATAAATAATAGCATTTTTAATTGTAGCTCCCTAATATAGCAATAATTTTCCATAACTTATTTCAAACTAATGGGTAGATACTAACATTGAAATAACAATGACAGACACATAATAATAAATTTCATTGAAATTTTGTGAAATTCTCAATTTACTTTGATTTGATGATACCTACTTAATTTCTTATATCGTGTTAATTTCCAACTTTTAAAGCCTAAGATGCACCATCGTGATTCCAGTTTCTACGGTGTGTCGGTGTGTATAAGATAGAACTAGAGAAGTCAATCAATTTCCGGCAAATATTTCCGGTGAAACTATTGTCACAGTTATCGATCAAACAAAATAGACTCATTACAGAAATCTAAAATGAATAGATTAAGAAATGTTTCACTCTGGTCATTATTTTACAAAAAGCTAAGTGACAGTGTCAAGTTGTATTTATGTTTCTCAAGTTGAATCAAAGCAAACAAGCTCATAACTCTATACATTTTAGTTTGAACTGCATCGATGAGTTCGGTTACTAAAAATGTGTGCGTGCTTTATAAAACGAGTTTAACATAATGTGTAATAATTTTTGCCACAATACATTCTAAAGTAGTAAGTACCTATAGGCTATAGTTCATGTTCTAACAAATAAATTCTTATTCATTTTTTGTTCGGTAATAGGTAATAATTGTATTCTAGTTAATAATTGATATCAATTATAATTTTACCACATAATTTAAATAGTATTTTTATAGTCGTAGTCGCTTGTTTAATGTTATTTCATCCGTGTAAAACGGCTTATTATTTCAGTAGGTATAGGTAGGTATGCGTGTACCTACAGATTACGTATTGTTAAATGTAAGCACAAATAAATAAGTTCATTCATCAAATGTCACAAAATTTATGTTATGCATACATATAAATTATAATTACTACAGCTATATTAGATTAGGTATAAATATAAAACTATTTGTACTTAACTGTAAAGTCTACAACAATGATGTTATTATTATCCACATTTTAAAGTAGATTTTGCACATAAATATATTTTATTTTTCCCGTCGATACAGTAGCAGTATACTTTGTTTATGTAATGTATACAGGGTGTCCCGTGAGGATTTACTCATTAGCCGTAGAGGGGGACTCGCCGCCCGGACAAAAACCAGTTTATTGACGTTTTACTAATAAACTAAAAAAATTATTAAAAATCATAAGATTAATGAAAATAAAATGTTAAAAGCTCAAAATGTTCACAAAAATATACTCTATAGAATGGCTATCTTCAATTTTTTCAAAAATAAAAAAATAAAAAAATAATTTTTTTAACTTTTTTACTAAAAAATTTAATTTAATTAAAAAATAAAATACTTGTAGTGCTTACCTCTGCGAGTCTTAATAAAAAAACATAATTACGATATCTCCATTATTTCAGGAGATATCGCAATGAGTAAATCCTCACGGGACACCCTGTATATAATATAAAAAACAATAATTAATTTAAGAATTAATTCTCTCTGTAAACTGTAGACATATATTGAAAGATATAGGTAATAGGTACCTGGTACCTACTGAAATGGTAGTTAAATCATTGAATTGTTTTTTTTTTTTTTTATTAGATTCAAATTTATAGTATTTATATAGGTAAATAGTAAATGTGTAGATAGTTTTAAATTATCTGATTCGTTAATTATATATCATGGAGACTTAATTCAATCTAATAAACATTATACGACACATTAGGTATTTCAAAATAGAGTTTTTGCTATACACTTAATCTAAAATATTATATTTGAAATTGTATAATTTTTTAAAACTGAATGTTCTAAAAGTTACAATAAAAACACATATTAATATTACACGTTTAAATAAATATTTAAAATGAAATGTTTAATACTTTTCAGTACCTAAGATTTAAAAAAGTAACAATAGAGCCTTTTAATAAAATATTTTTTTTACAAAACTTGTGTATTGTAAGTTTATAGTTTAATTTGTACAATGCTTTAAATCCTGCTAGATATATGAATATATTATATAGGTCTACTCGTACACGAATACACGATATACTATACATTCGCTATACGTAAAAATACATATTTTCTTCTCCTTTTGCACTCAACTGTATAATATATGGGGTCGGCTGCCTTTGTCCTACACCTCCAATCACCTTATAGGGTTCAGTCCTCCCTCGCCTTAATTCACACGAGTTATTTCCGTGCCATAATCTATTCTGTCTATCCATATCTTCTTCGCTTTTTCTCTCCCTCTTTTTCCGTCTACATTTATTTTCATAGGCACTTCTCACTGTCTTTGCAGAGCCACTTCTCCTCATAGTATTACGGAACCATCTGAACATAATTTTTTCCGTCTACAATTTATTGCTGTCACTCCTTAACTATCTTTATCCAGTTATCCCTATGCATAAATACATAATAATTATTTCAATAAATTGTCAATAAAATAAAGTACGAGAAAGTTATAGACACATGTGTGATGATGATGCGTATATCTGTAAAAACATATAGAATTTGGTAGGTAATTTAAGATAATATTAAAGTTAAATAATAATATGTAATTTAAGTAGTAAACCACACATTTTAAAGACGTCCATTACTTTCTACAGCCTAAGAAAAATAAGTGTTTGTTAGTCGGACTTGTATATAGATCATAAGAAGTTCACTGTTCATTATAATATTATATCAAGTACCTACTTACGTGTTAAATGTTTATAATATGTTACTATTGTCTTATAAGTTATAACTTATAACATAAAGAAATATATAAGATACGAGATAAAGAAACAATATATTAAATTAAATATAATTTCTCTCACCCCAATATAATCAAGTAGCGAAAAAATGCATTATAAATATTGTATGCGTATCTATACAAATACCCAAGCTCTGCCTTTGATATATATATATATAATATGTTAAACACACATGACACATTATAAGTACTTAAATTGTTTACAGGTCATATACATTGTATATATTATACAAGTATACAATTCTAACTTGTCGAACTGCTTTCAGGTCTGAACCACACGAATCGGAATTGTTCAAAAGCGTTACCGATAACAACCCCGAAGACTTATTAAAATCGTCTGACTCGGACCTGGACGAGCCATTGGACTATAAAGAGAATTCCTATTTTCCAGTCCGAGTGGGATCCGTCATCAACGACCGTTATCACATAATAAAAAAACTAGGTTGGGGTCATTTCTCAACAGTTTGGCTCTCTTGGGACGACGTGTGAGTATAATAAATAATAATATTATATCGCATTTTATTACACGAGGAACACGCGCAACTACCTACCATTGCTTCAAAGGCACATTATAACACGTGATGTTATATGTTTACTAACTGCATAGGCACAAATATCAAGAAATATGGAACCACCTCATAGGGGCTTTTGGGACTTGATGAATCAGACCCCTTCAAACATATTTTAGAATGAAATAAGAGTATAATCGTGAGTATAACAGTGGTCGAAATGGCTCAAGATAAGTGGAGGGATGCCTTACAATTCAGATTTCCTGTTATCATCATAATTCATAACATTCTTCAATTCTTCATGTAACAAAAAAGTAGAGGAATGCCATCCCTCCGTACCCCCCCCCCCCTCACTTCGAGCACTTAGTATATACAAATTAAAGTAGTTAAAAATATGATAACGGAACAATAAAAAAAAAGGTGGGTAAGTGGGTGTCACACAGATGTACAGTAGGTTACAAGTGAGTCGCTGTAATGGATGGTGTCAAATTTGAATTCAAATATATGAGATCATTGGATAAGAAAAACTATTCTGAGCAAAGACGATCAGTCAGCCTATGATATTACTATAAGTACCTATATTAATTGATGATATTATTTTGATTAAAGTAATTTTTATATTATAACCTATTTACGTGAAACCTTGTTTTAAATTTCAATCCTTATAGCTATAAAAGTTAAACATTTAATACATTTTTAACAACAAAATAATTTTAAATTTTGTCAAAACTCGAACTTTGAATGCTTATAAAAAAAATTGTCCGTATGTATTTTTAATATTACTCAACTGCTATAATTGTCACAATACATCAGGAGCCTTATACTACGTTTTCATGCTTTTTTGATAAACAAATATAATTTTATTGATATTTATAGAAAAAAATTGGGGGGTAATTTTTTAGCATATTTTCATGTATTAAGATCTTTTTTAAAAGTTTATTTTGATGATTTCAGGTGTTAAGTCTGGAACTCTTATAAAGTTATAACAGATATTTTTATATATATATTTTGGTTGTCATAGTATTCATAAAATACAGAATAGGTAATATTTTTAGGACTTTTTTATATAATATAGAAATATAGAGAGATGCTTATCTGTTGGGATTAAGAAAAAATTTTTTGAGTTCTATTGATTATAATTTATTTTCCTTTGATTAACCTGACTAACCTCAAGCCCTTTCCCATCCGCCATCAAATTTGAAACGCTTTGTCACTATCTGTGCATATAGGCGCAAAAAAGGGGGCTGGGTGGGCTTAGCCCCCTAGAATTCCTATAGCCCCACAAGAAACTAATGATTTCACTAGGTACATATTACATTGGACAGAATATCACTTTTCGCTCATCAAGAATAGTGATGATCAAAATTGGTCTTGGTCATGCGGTCTCGTAAGACCCTTGCTGCAAGACCTCGACTAAGACCAATATGGCACTAGTCTAGCAAGACCAAGACCAAAAAAATAGCGAAGTTGCCAGACCAAGACAAAACAAGACCTTCACTGCAAGTGACTACAGTCTTGCAATTTTTTTTTTCCCCCAAAAAAAACATTAGTGTATTTAGATTTCATTAACTAATAATTTATAACGAAAATAGTATGAAATTATTTGTATTGTTATTAAATTTGAAAATGTCTAGATTCTCGCATTATCCCCAATTCACAACTGTCCCGAGATTAGTGAAACTGAAATCACCAATAAGTATTCAGTAACAAAATATTTTGGGTATACGATTATTATTTTTTTTTGTGTTAATATAAAAATATAATGGCATTGATGTTTGATTTTCCAAGACGTCGAAGGGTCTATATAACATCGTCTATCAGCATTAAAAAACAACATATTAAATAACAGCAACAGGTGCAACATATTAAATTGCAATTTACTTTTTATAAATACTATATTGGCCAATAATTAGTAATTACTAATAACCTATTATAAATATAATAGGAACTTACAAAGTTGATTATGCTGGTAAATTGATTCATCAAATACAAATACAAGTAAAATAATATAAGCATAATTTAAAATGCAAAGTTTTAAACGAGTAAAATAAAAATATTATTGTTTGACTTGTTTTATGTTAATGTTTGAATTATTAATATACTATAATATAGTATATTATAATATATTGAACTTAAGTTTCATCTTAGAGATCATAGCAAAAAACCTACACACGGCTTAGTTTTTTTTTTTTATATATTTTGTGAAAATAGCAATAGTCTTGCAAGAGTCTTGAGCAAGACTTTCAAAATCTTGGTCTTGGTCTTGTTTTGATCATCACTAATCAAGAATGATCCGATTGGTGTGTCGGGAACCACGTGATCAAGCTATCAACGGGTAGTTAGTGGGAGATGTGCAGTACTGACGAGAATAGGTCGGCGAACTGATTGTTAATAAACAATTTGTTCTCCCGTGGAACAGACTGACGATTTAAGACTACAACACACATATATTTTTTGTATCCGTCTTACAGTAAACAACGTCTTTGCTTAACATACTAACAGCAAATGTACGCTCAATAGATCACGTTTAATTCAGTTAGCTTAAAAATTAGAGTGAATCGACCTATTTTGAAACTTGATGGTAAGTACATTACCTTTGCTCGTAAGTTCATTTTTTACGATACTTCAATTTTTTTAGCCAGTTATGTGTATATAATATAGCGTAAATTAAAATTGCTTATAACTCATTATTAAACTGAATAGTCGTACAAAACCAACATACGAACACAGATAAAGTTCTTATCATCAAGTTGTATAATAGGTCGTTTCACTCAAATTTTAAACTAACTAACGGAGCTAAACGTGATCTGCTGAGCGTAAATTTACTATGTTATGCACTTTTTTTAAAGATTTTGTGATAATATAAAAGAATACACCTGTATAGATCAGAGCTATAGCCCCCCCCCCAAATTTCAAACACTATTTGAGCCTATGTATCTGTGTCTAATGCCTATAGGCAGTCATAGGTACCCAACCTACATTAAGTGACTAGTCGGGGTAGTTACAATAGTATTATTGTTAGTTATTTGTTATCATTATCATTATCTGCTTTGTTTGTACTGTGTAATCTTTAATAATATATTATACTAGACGTTGTGCAGACAATATTTCTGCAGTATACACTAATGCACTATGCTGCAGTATTGTACCCGACACAAGAATAATAAACAGAGGGTTAGTATACACACAATAGTTACATAAAGTATATGTAAAATTGTTTGTCAGACTTTGTATAGAGTCGGACATGGTTTATATTAAACATACAACTGCAGAATAATAATGTTTTCATCGTATTCAGGATTTTGAAAATTACCATTCATTCGGTGCACGATTTCCGATCATGTCGGAATAACCACGTTCTTACATTTAAATAGGGAAGTCGCTAACTTACTTACTTACTATATTATGTACCTTCATAACATTAAATATATACGTGATGTGAACATGACTGACAAAACGAAATATTATAACATAGTATTTCAATTGGTTCAAAACTTGATGTCACACTCAAATATAAAATGCTCTTGAGAGTAAAATTATGAATGAAAATGTATGATAAAGGGATTTGCATACTTCTATTGCTTGTTTAAATGTTTATTTATTTAAATTACTGTAGTGACGTTTTTCATACCTCGGAATTTTGAATATTTTATCAAAAAATTATAAACCATTAGGTACATTTTTCGCATTAGTGCTGGATACTGTCATTCAGATTATTAATTTACTTAACATTGATTTATTTGTTTTTTAATTATGTATTTATGAACAACCTAAAATACCATAGTGAAAAAGTGTTTGTTATTTTTTTAATTTCATAAAATATTAAAATATTGTTGTTATTAATTTATTATCTTTCACCTAGATAATTTAGAGTTCAAATTTAATTATTATAATGCATTTAAAGGTTATTTTGTAGGTATTAGGTAATAGGTAGGTGACTGGTTTTAAATTAACTAGGTACATTTGTTATATTATAATTATTTATTTGTGATTGTAATTAGATTATTAGAAAAAAAATGATTTATTCATCCTAGTATGCGTGTAATTGCATTATAACTAAATTATTATTTTACGTCACGTGATTAATATAAATATAATATGGAACAATATTGAAACATACAATAATTTTCTTTTGATACAATTATTATGATTTAATATTTATTACCTACCTACTCACAAATCACAATACTATAATTATTGTTTTACAATTGATATAATTTTAATATTTATTAACATATAATACACCTACCTGACCTATTTTTACACAGATCCTAATATGATTAGTTTCTTCGTATTTATATGAATCAGTATTTTTTTTGAGGTAGTATCTATCATCTATAGTTATGAGTACTTATGACTTTGTGAGTAACGAATGCCTAGCTAATGGATAATCCGATAAACCGAACATGACAATATTATAATCATAACTTACAATAATTAAAATACGTAATAAATAGGACTTTGATATTTTATGTAATTATATAGATGCAAAATACATAAACATAATACTACATAGTTAAATATGGATATTTCATTCAAAATATTATGTTTAAAAAAATATAACACGTTAAATAACAATTAATAATTTTGAAATACACTATATACTATATAGTTTATAAATGAACCAATAAATAATAATACTGTTCAATCAATTCTTCGTGATCTCCATAAATTTATGATAGCAATGAGCGGATAAACGGAAATTCTGTCTGTTCCTATTCCTATTTAATATTTATCCAATAATTGTTTGGATTTTTTTAACCACTTCAAATTGCCCAAAGTGAGACTATAAGATTTAATTTTTACCAAATTTTACAACAACAAAAAATAACTAAATTCCAAAAAATACGAAATAATATTTCAAGAATGTAAAAAATGTAAGTACATTATTTAAATATATACATAAGTAAGCTAAAATTAATTGAAATTAATTTATAAATCGTCACATTTTACCATCAATCATTAAAAACATTACAGTGAGCTCCTAGGATTACATCAGCATCCAATAATTAATGATTTTCAAAATACGACCAAATATTATAGTGATTATTAAATTATTTCAACATTATAAATTATGACTTGATCTAAAATCTGAATTAATTTCAGAGCATCTTCTTGGTAGGTACAATGTAGTTAAAAGTTCGCATGCAATTAATGTGGAATAATATTGCATAGTACAATAAATAATTTAATGCGATTTTTTTAACCCAAAATATCAACTAATAATTCGTATAGTAAAAAATGAAATGCCTAAAAATCTAGAACTTATATACGAAATTTAAACTCTAAATTCGATATTTTATCGGTAAGGCTTATTCAAACGCACTCAAATTTCCTTTCAAATACAGGAAGTTAAATAAGTTTATTTTTATTCTAATTGCTCTCGAGTATTCAGGAGAGAGTTGTTGTGTTCTATTAACGCTACCTACAACAGTCACAAAATGCCTCCTGTAATACCTAAAGGCTAAAACTACTTTTTAGTTTGAGAAAATATTTTTAAACGTTATTTAACGTAATCAAGGAAAGCCTGCATTTTATCTCCCCCTTTAAAACAAAAGAATAGAGAGACTGTAGAGACATAATATAATTTACATCTAATCAAAATTGTTTAGTCTAGTGTATACATGTAATAACATCTCACTCACTTTTACATATTGTATATACGATACAATATGACAATAATGAAGTTTAAAAAATAAATTATGGAAAATATGAAAATATAATTCAAATAAAATGTTTACATTATAATTTGATTCTGCTAACAAAAATGCATTATTATTATGATTGTTATAACAGCGCATAAGTTAGACATTTAACAGAGTGAAAAAAAAATTTAAATCCGTATACTTACCTAGGTAGTAAGATTGTGTTTTGTCATTTTATAGGGCACACAACTTTTCAGCTCTCAAGGTCGTGAAATCCGCAGTTGACTACACAGAAAGTGCGTTGGATGAAATACGAATGTTGAAAAGCGTAAGTATGTCACCGTACCCGTATACAGAATGTACAGCACTATGTCAGTATGCAGTACTATAATTTATAATCGGTTTATGGGTTATCTTATCATCGTTTATGTGTGCAGTGTGCAAAGACAACCGGAAAGAATAAAATGTTATCATAACAATAATAATATTATACTGTTCAGATATATCGTCACCGAGATTTGGATACGAACCGTACAAAGATCATTCAGTTGTTCGACGATTTCCGAATAGACGGTTTGCGGGGTATGCACGTGGTCATGGTATTCGAGGCGCTGGGACCCAATTTACTTAAGCTCATCAAGAGGACCAACTATCAGGGGATACCTCTGTACTTGGTGAAACATATCATCAGACAAGTGAGTTCAGGCATTCAGCCGAGAGAACACGTTCGCAGTAAATAACAACGAGCTGTGCGCATTATATTCGTATCATTTACGCTATATGAGTAATACCGATTTGTGTGTATACATTTTTATATATACCTATAATAGGTGCTGCAAGGGCTCAAGTACCTTCACGAGACTTGTCACATAATTCACACGGACATCAAGCCTGAGAATATATTGATTTGTGCACAACACCAATACATAAAGCTAACAGCCGAAAACAGTTGCAAACAAATGTCCATACTGAGCTTACGTAAGTGTATGAAGGTACCTCCTATATTATAGTGCATGCCATTGTGCCAATGCGTTAGTGCTTTATAAGTATCACTTGAAAGACATATTTATTTTTTTATTTGCTTGGCATCCCGATATACCAGAAAAAATTACCGAAAATAATTACGAAAAATTGGAGAAATTTACAACAAGCCCATTTTTAACGTAAATTATTTCGTTGTAATACGAAAAAACAATAGACTTGACATTTTTTAGTTTATTTAAATATTTGGTATAGCCGTATAGTTTATTATCCAAGCAATAAAACATACCTATTATAAGCAATTTATTGTAAATGTAATAATTTCAAAATTTAAAATGAATTATTTTTCGTGTTAATGAAAATCTTGACATCAGATATTGATTTACAGTCAAATCTATTCTGACATTTGATTAAGTTAGCTCGATGATCGCTGTTAACTATGCTCTTACTTAGAATATACATATTGCATGAGTAGCTATATCCAGGGGTGGATAGGTCCATAGGTAAAAAGGGATTTTCCCTGTGGACCCCTGTCTATGTTTATGTTGGGGCCCATTCGGGTCTACACATTGTTTTTTTGCAGAATAAAATATTCACCAAATAGGAATAGTTTAAATTTAAAACTATTCATTTTTTCATATAAATTATTATCACTTACTGTTATTTATTTTTAACAATATAATAATACCACAACAAGTCAAGAATTTGCTTACGGATCTTTAACAAAGTATTTTTAATTTTGATTGTGTTATACCATATTGTGTTTTTGTAATTTTTTTTTTGCCGATATTAGTACGGAATTATATTAGTACGGAATTTGTACGATAAGACCCTCAATTTGTACACATTTTTTTCGAAGTTATATGAGACTCGAGTGAAGATAGAAACGTTTCTCCCCCCCCCCTATTTCCAAAACTACTTATTTATATGAAACTTCTATGCAGATATGATTTGTATGAATTTGTACGACTTTACCCGAAATTTTTCAAAAATCCCTTACAACCAAAAAAAGCATTTTCCTCATGTGCAATTTCCCCCCCAGCTCCCCACCAAACTAAAAATACGTTTTCTAACGAAACATTTTATTTATAGTGAAAGGCGTTAGATTGAATATCTAATGCGAGCGAAGCGACAACATTTTTTTTCAGTTTGGGGGCCCCTTCAAATATTTCCCTGTAACATAAATACTATTTCTCCACCCCTGGCTATATCTAATAGTTACTTCAATCAAGTTCGGCCAATATGAAAGTCATTAAATATTATTTGGTAGACTAAATTAATATTATATTGAATTTCCACTATACTGCTACAACTATAATAGTAAATATTATACTGTAGGTATCGCTATTACGTCAAAGTGTATAACTGTATAGTGTACCTATATTGTTTTATTATTATACCGTTATTTATTGATGTATTCCACTATGTAAATAATATGTCCATATACCTATGAGGCATAAACCTATCCTTTATTTAAATATATAAACCTGCAGGTTTATGAGTTTAAAATATGTTTTATATATAAAATTTTTACTGTAGGTAACTACTTTCAATTTTGTACTTATTTAGGCAACAGAAAATGTGGAAAAAATACCGCCGATGAAAGATTACAGGGTAATTATCGATTAGACGGAATTCGATCGGAACAATCGTTGGACATGGAAAGCGGTTAGTATAAATATTTTCTATCGTATAATACTATCGGGAAATACGGAATTGGTTCCTGGGTCAAAATAAAGTGTACAAATTGCCGAATTGTTTCCTGATAAAAACAACTTATTATCAACACTGTTCGCATAGATCCCCATCCGCATATAAATAATTATAGATAATATTATTAAAATCTGATGACATTGATTTTCCGTCAAAAATCTGATCAGAATTTTCTTCTACTTCAGAACGAACTAAAAATTGTAGCGAATCATCACCTACCCAATGGCTAGTATAATTATTTTTCTATTTGTTTTACAATTATTTCTTACATTTGTGTGTTTTATCTAGAGAGTTATGCCGAATCAAATTGTTATTTTAGAAAAATTAGTAAGTTCAAAAGATTATACGAATTGTTGGACGATTTGGGAAGTGTAAATATCAAAATAGCTGATCTTGGTAACGCTTGTTGGGAGGTAATTATTGCTTCTTAAATCTTAATAATTAATAACGTGATGGACGATATGGTATTCGCATCATTAAATAATGATAATGAATAATGTATTCATGTTAATATGTCAACATTCCATTAGTGTTTTTGACTGTTAACATCGAGTGTATAATACCTAAACTATCATATTGAACACTTGATGTTGTAACTTGTAACATATTATAATAATGACCTTGAGAATATTATACTTATATTTGTATGGTATTGCAAAATAGGCATAATTTATACCTGTTACATAAGCATTTTCATCATTTTATTTAATTTTTTCATAGGATAATCACTACACAGAAAACATTCAAACTCGTCAATACCGAAGTCTGGAGGTCCTACTAGGTGCTGGATACGGCACACCTGCAGACATTTGGAGCACAGCTTGTCTGGTTTGTTTTTATCAATCATGACTTACAATAATATATTTGTGTATATTGTTTTCTGTGTCCAACAAATTCAAAATAATTATTTTAAACCTTTTCCTAGAAATATTTAATTACACATTATTACACCTACATCATAAAAATATTTATATACCTTACTACTATAGTAATACATTTATTATGTTTCTTAATTAAATACATATCTTTACGTATTTAATATTTATTGATTTTACAATGACATGTGGTTTAGTTTTACGTTTATTTTCAAAAAATACTTTTTGAGATTTGAGTATAAAAGTTACTTTAAAATTTAAATAGACGATATTATATAAATTTAAATTTAAAAACCACAAACAGTGATAAAACTAAACATGAAAAACATTAAATAATTTATTATTTGAAAGATTATAAAATTTTATTTGAATTAAAAATGTAATGAATTTAATGAAATGAATTATAATAACAAAATTATGCATTTTAAAATAATATTAATAATTTATTATACTCGATAAAAAAATGTTAAACTGATAATTAAAAAGGTGCTCTGCTGTACAGTAGGTTGCAAGTGGGTCACTGTATAATGGATGGTATTAAATTTGAATTCAATGATATAATATCATTGTATAAGAAAAACGATTCTGAGCGGAGACGGTATGTCAGTCTAGGTATAAGACATATTATATACATACTTATCTATGGTATTAAAAAAATTTGACCTATAATAAGTACCTACCTATAATAAATTCCAAATTAACCATATCACAATATCCATTAGGTACTTATAACGCGTTATACATCAACAACAAACCCTGATACTATCATAGATATATAGTAGTATACTTTAGAAGTTTCAAGTACCCATGAATAATATTATACAATCACAACAAAATAACTAAAATAGTTATTCTAGGTTTTTTATTATGTAATTTCGTCCAAATTTGAACTTAAAATGACTATAAAAATAAAATTTGCTTATGTATTTTTTAGATTTTTTGGTAACAGAATTAACTACTTACGTGAAATCTTGTTTTACATTTTAAATCCTTAGATATAAAAGTCGAACATTTTATATATTTTTAACTACAAAATAATTTTTCAATTTTAAATTTGACAAATTTTGTCGAAATTGGATCTTTAAATGCTTATAAAAAAATTGTGCCTATGTATTTTTAATATTTTCCAACTGATATTGTAATAATATATCAGGAGCCTTGTATTACATTTTTGCACTTTTTGGCCCGACAAATAAAACTTTATTGATATTTATAGAAAAAAAAACTAAAAATATTTAAAACTGACCTTAAAAAAGAGTCAATATATTTTTTGTCATATTTTTCACATTAAGTGAAATTTTCATGTAGTTATTTGTTTTTGAATTACAACAAAATAAGGAAATCACTATATGAGAAATCGAGTGAATATCCAATGTTGTAAAAATTTGAATTTCAAACGCTCATAAAAATTGAATTAAACTTTCTTACAGACATTTTTTTTTTTTGATAAAGGTAGATAATCTTATAAGGAATCTTGTATTACATTTTAAAATCTTAGATTTAAAAAGAAAAATTGTTACGAATTCTTAAGTCAAAATAATTTGCTAATTTTCGTGATTTTTCCATATTTTGTCAATTTTTGAATTTTAAATGCTTATAAAAAAAAACCGTGACTAAGGATTATTAATATTTTTCATCTGCCTTTGAAAAAATATACTAGGAGCCTTCAATTTCATTTCCAAGCTTTTTTAACATTTCAATAAAATGTTATTGATATATTTAGAAAAAAAACTAAAATAAAATGGAAAATGAAAATGTCCCTAAACAGTTCAAAATAAATCAAAATATTTTGAAAAAGTTATCGTGTATAGAAAATGCAAATATAAACAATCAGTTAAAATTTCATGTATCCACGGTCATTTATTTTAAAGTTACACCAAAAACCAAATTCGATTTTGCGTAAAAATTCCCGTCTTTCCTTAATTTTCCTTTTGTTTTTCTTGGTGCTTTTGGAAATTATTAGGAATTTTAAATTTTGACCTCCCTATGAACCAATGATATTCACTTTCCAATCAAACAAGATACTGAAGTTGAAAATCGAAGCATATTTCGACTACTTATCGTGTACACAGACACAAATAAAATTAAAAAATTAAAAATTAAAAATAAACACACACATCATTGTAAAATCAATACATTCATTCTTTCCACTCAGAATTTAAAATATATATATATTAGGTCCCAGGTAAGTATTCGTATAGTCGTAAATTAATAGTTATAAATATGACAAAATGTAAGCGAGCTGTCATAACATACAAAGCGTAAAAACAGCTCCGTTGCAATTAAGAATCGTAAATTTCGAAATCGATCGTAGTTTTGAAATGTAAAAACGTACAGACCTTTAAATCTTATATAATTTACAGTTATACGTTATCCACTTATGTCTTATGCATATAATACATTAAGAGGACTTGATACCTGCATTTGTTGTCTCCGTCTTACAAGTGCGTAACATAGCAAATTCTACGCAAAGCAGAACACTTGTAGCTCCGTTTTTTTAAAAATTAGAATGAATTGACCTCTTATAAAATCTAAAGGTAAGATTATTATCTAGACAACCTAATGGGCTTTTTATTATATTTTAATTTTTAAGGGAGCTATGAGTATTTTAAAATTGTAAATTATTTATAGATCTGTAAGTACTCATAACTAGCTTAAAAATTAAAATATAATAAATAACCCATGTCTAGATAATAATCTTACCTTTAGATTTTATAAGAGGTTAATTTACTCTAATTTTGAAATTAACGGAGCTACACATGTTTTTCCGAGTGTAAAATTTGGTATGTTATGCACTTGTATGACGGAGACAACACATGCGGGTATCACGTCCTCTTAATACACATTTCATGTATAATGTATATTGTGGTTTGTATAGATCGTAGCTCGTAGGTACACACAATATGTACTTAAATAAAACGAGTTCAAATTTTCAGGCATTCGAGCTGGCTACTGGTGATTTTTTATTCGACCCACACTCTGGGGCCACTTACAACAAAGACGAAGACCATATAGCCCACATAATCGAGCTCTTAGGCCAGATACCGATGTACGTGATTCAAAGCGGCAAACACTCCAGCAGCTTTTTCAGGACCAACGGTAATGTTAATGGTTTAATGCAAGTAATACAACTCATAAACTCATTATTTTTATAAAGCCGCAAGATTTTGATAAATCACGTTCACCACGTATCTACTTAAGAGTATGCTGCAAATTCGTTTTTTAAGGGGTTTATGTAGGCAATTTAAAATAATAATTCAAAGTAACTTACAAAGGGTCCTACACTCTTACGTCAATACTATTGATAGTAATTTATTGTTGTATGATTACGAAATCATATTATACGAAAACTGTTTTGAGTGGGAAAAAAGTGAGAATGCTACAGTTATAGATATAATAATCCAAATTTATACAATTAAAAGAAGAGTACTTTACTGCGCGCTATCGGTTTTATTTTTTCAATACCATGTTTGCAAACAATTTATTTAAGAAAAACATAAATAGGTATAATGTGATTTAAAACTATAATAGCTGACTTTTTCGATTCTTAGTAGAGCTATGAAGCAGGTCAGCTCGTGGGATTCTCAGGATGTGGGGCACAAATATTTTACCACTACCGGGTTCCCTCCCCTAATTCCTAATGATTTTAAAATGTATTTTAATTATTCACTGGTGATAATAATATAATATTGAACATTATTAAAAGAAAAATCATATAATATGCCTATAAACAATTAATAAAAGCAAAATATAGTGTTGCCATGTTACGCACTTGCAAGACGGAGACATCAAATAATAATTTCGGTGTAACGTCCTCTTATATAACAATTATAAATAAAAAAAATAGTGTTTCGAACGGTATGTTATATTATTTTCGTACTAGAACATGGAAAAATAATATGACGATAAGACCGAAGACGGCCAATAATAAATTTTTCCAAATAAAAATAGAATTCGGGCACAATCCGTCGGGCCGACAAGTGGGGACCTGCAGACGATTTTATTTTAATATTTTATATACAGTAAATAATGTGCTGCGGGTTTGTGCCCGCCGCGCATAAACAAAATAAATCGTATTATACAATTATTATTGATCACTTCAAACTTGGCGTCTGATAGAATTTCAATAATATTGGCAATATTGCTATATACCTACTGCAATAATTATTAGGTATGTCGGATGACGGATATAAGATGTTTTAATTTAATTTAACTTCTTTCTTTTATTCGAAATGTTGGGTAGGGACGTGGGGCACCGGGCTACGTGTCTGTATGTGCCCTTTAGCACCAGCCGCCACTGTAATTGTGTGTATTTTTTGTCTGATTTTCAAATTTAAGTATGGTTTCTGGACTTCTGGTAGCTAGTTAGTAGCTAGTTAATTGGATATAGTTAATAATCTACTTTCGGGGGTAAAAAGTAAAAAATTCCCAGTACTTTTCAATATAATTGGTAAAAATGAAGGAAAAACGACAAAATGTTAATATATTATTTTGTTATAGGTAGTTCAAAAACAAATAACCTAGATACATGGAATTTTCACTAAATATTTATATTTGTATTAACATTTTCTATACATTATGGTATAATTTTCGAAATATTTTGATTCTTTTTGAGCTATTTATAGTCTTATAAACACTTAACATTTATTTTGATATATTCGTTTTTTTTATATAAATATTGATAAAAATATTTTGCTGCTTCAAAAAATTGAAAATGTAGGTAATACAAACTGCTTATAAGTCATTCATAAACCAATTTGAAAAATCTAAAATAAAAAGCTACCAATAATAGTCAAAATATTTTTTTGTTAGCTTATTTTTTTTCGTCATAATATAATCTACGATCAGATGTTACATAATATAAGTACAATATTTGTGTAAGTGATGACTGTAATTTATTATGATTTTAATAACGGATTTAAGAAACCTTCAGGTAAAATCACTTTGACAGTTGTAAGAGTGATAATTTATGTTAGATTAAATTTAAATAACTAAATTGTTATGATTCTTCAAAAAATTACAATGTTATTGATATGATATTTTTTATAAGCATTAAACCTTAGAATTTTAATAAAGTTCGTCAAATCGTAAGCATTTGCAAATTATTATGTAGTTAAAATGAAAAAAATTTATATTCATACCTTTATTTTGAAAGTGTAATACAAGGTTCCTCAAAAGTAGTTCATATTGAAACATACAGAGTTACACCAACACCAAAAACCAATTTTGCGTAAAAATTAATTTTTTGTCCTTAATTTTTTATTTTTAAAACTATTGGGAATTTTTGACCTCCCCAATGCATGAACAAGACACTGAAGTTGAAAATCAAGCATTATTTCGACTACTTATCGTGTACACAGACACAAAAAAAATATATAAAAAAATAAAAAAAAATAAAAAAAAACACATAATTGTAAAACTAATACATTCATGATTCATCGTCCAGCTCAAAATCTAAAAATTATTTTGTTGTAATTCAAAAATATTACTCGTGAGACTTCAAACTTTTACGTTTTACGTATATAATTTACATTATTCTATTTTATATACACAATGACATTTTCAAAGCATTCTAGAGATTAATTTTATGCTATCCTTTATTTTACCACTAGCCTATTTACACCGTTTTGCGGTATTTACGATAATTAGCAACAATAATAATAATATAGTAAATGTTTTCGGCAAAAATTAATTCAACTAGTAATTGGAAGCTGTGATTTTCTGTCTTTGTGTACCTGTATTATAACACATGTGGAACATGTGTGTGAAGTAGACCCCCCGACTTTGTCCGATCGATTCGAGAAACATGTCAATATTATGCAAATTAATTGCAAATTGGTTTTCAATACTTGAAAATTCTCCAAAAAAAAAATATTGATTTGAAAATTCTAAAAATTAATTTGCAAAATATTGACATATTTCCCTAATCGATCGGACAAAGTCGGGGGGCCAACTTCACACGCATCTACTTGAAATCAACTTTCCCAGATTATACATTTTTTGATTTTATTTCCTTCAAAAATTTAAATATTTTATTTCCTTTTTAGTACGAATTTTTTTTTTGGATTTGGGGGAATAAAATCAAAAATGTGGTGAAATCGATCTCAAGTAGACTTGACTATAAATTCAAATCGGTTTTTAGAATTCTTATCGCATCACTAGATCAATCGGTACGTTGGAATGAAAACCCGTCTAAATTCCTATGTTCCACGTGTGTTAGACAAAGACAGAAAATCACCGCTCCCGAATATTGTTGAATATTGAATTAATTTTGATACAACTAATATTTTGTTACTATCTATAACATCGTCGATAAAGCTGGGCTCGGCTAACAGCTCGTGGATCGTTTAAGTTTGGTATTAGGTATTCAGGTATAATGATTAGTGTAATAATAATACGTGGAAATAATAAATTACAAAATTTCGGCAACGTTAATGTTGCAGGGTCGCATAAAATATTTTATTCTCAATTAAATCGGGTTGCTTAAAAGGTATAATAATATGCTCAAACATATTATGCCCAATTGTGTTTTTACGGGCATCGGCACATGGTAAATATTTTTTTGTAATATGTATATAACACGATGGTATAAATTAAATGACAAATCGTATAATAAAATAAGTACTATTTGTTTAATATGTTATGAAATATGAACTATCACTTACTGTTTTTATTTTTAAGTAGGTCCCTCACTTAAGTTCTGTTTAATCAATGGAAATTATTAATTGTAAATATTGTATTGTTTTGAAGATAATGCATCACATATTCACAGTATTATACATTAAAATAAAATATCTTTTAAGGGGATTCGAATAAGGCTGTTATTTTTTTGTTGTTTAATACCTAAAACAGAAAAAATCTGCCTAATAACAGGTGGACCTTTAACTTTCTACATCCCCAATCACACTTAACACCCCGATCTACACATTAATGTAATGAAAAAATATAGCCTATAGCCTTTAACCTATATAGCTATATATAACCTAATAACATATTTAATCTAAAATATATTTCCAATACAGAACACCTTACTAACAATGCGTCTTAAAACTTCTTGACACTGTTATTCAACTGATCGCCAGTGATAATATAATATAAATATATAATACATAATTTAAGTGGACCTTTATGTACCTGCTAATTGCTATACCTGTATACAGTATACATTATTATTCATTATTATACCTGTACATAATTATTCGTTACAGGCAATTTGAAGCACATCAGTAACTTGAAACCGTGGTATCTGTACGACGTGTTGACAGAGAAATACGAATGGAACACGAAGGAGGCCAAAGCATTCTCGTCGTTTCTGACACCAATGTTGGACTTGGATCAGGATAATCGAGCTTCGGCAACCCAATGTCTCTTAAACCCGTGGATGTTGGCATAACATAATATTTGTCATTCGATTATAAATAATTATATTATTAGGTAGGTAGGTAGTTATAGTGAAATTTCCATTATTATGTTATACATGTGTGTGTTTACGAGTTTTTCAGTTTTAAACTAATTACACAAACAAATGATTATACTTATACATACATACATTATACATATATACATACATACATACTACATATATATATAATATGTATATAATATGTATATTATATATAGTCAAATAGTACCAACTGTATGAGCTCGTATGTATACTGCATACTTTATATAACACCAATTAAGTTATATTTAAATGTTGTAAAAATATATACGTAATATACTAGTGTATGGCTATGTATTTTTTTTTACGATAAAAAAAAGAGATAGTCGGATAGACATTGTTAGATTTCGTCTTTTACCCATAAGAAAACCGGGCTAACCATAATATAATGGCCTTACGCACTTCATCTAAATAATATTATGATTTATGATTCAATTTTCACTTGTATATATATTGAGAATTGACATACTTAACATTTATTAAATGATACCTACTTTAAAAATGTATTGTGGATACAATTTAATATCAGTGTCAAAATTATTATATTTACAATGTATTAATCTTGAACGAAGTATATGATTTCAATGAATGTAAAATCTTTATAATGAAATACGAGTTGATTGATTTAACAGTAAGACATTAACCATCAGTAAGACATTCAATAATAATGAATGTGTCACGTTTGTCGATCAACCAGTAGTTCTTTTTTTTATTACTATAATTTATATATTATTGTGTAACTTCGAATTCGACCTAAATTCGCTGCCCTTTTCACAAATTGTACATGTCCTTTATGACATTTATGTATATTTAAGTATAATTTTTAAGTACCTACTCGTATATAATACTTACAACTTACTACATATCACCAGCTATCAAATTAATTTAACGTTCTATTATTTTATGTGGTACTTATGCTAATTTTATTACAAGCCAGGCAACATTTTATTTATGCTGCACAATATTGAAAATTAATCTATTATTTTGTAAAATATACCCTCTCAGATCTCATAGATCATAAACAAAATTAAATTGGAGCTTTGTGGAATCTGCCCCCCCCCCAAAAAAAAAAATATAATAACTAATTTTACAGTCGACATATCCATAACAGATATTATGGGCCAAAATTGTTTCAATTAAAATGTAGGTAAATTTAAAAAAAATTGCCTAATTACATTATATTTCTTGTTTAATATATAACATTAATACATTTTAAAAAGGTAGGTACTATTGCTTGGATCATAGAATAATAAATACGATCTTATGAAAAAAAAAATTAATAATTTTGTTTATATGTTTAAATTTGTCTTGTTTTTATGTTGTTGTATTATGTATAGGCAGTAATACCTAAAACTATTTGTCATTAACTGTATACTTTAATACAATATAACGATATAAAATGTCGGGTATTATGGTGTAAAAGTTCAATTTTTGTTTTCAATGTGGTGGTGTTAAATTGTAAGAGTTTATTTAATATTTTTATAGGAACACGTATTATTATTTATTGGTGAAGTGAGGGTGAACTGCGAAGTCGCCATAAGTCACTGTAACTTAAAAATATTCAGTCTCTCCAATAAAAACTGTAGTTTTTTCTATGTTCTAAATCTAAATGTTAAACAAAACATTTTTCGTACAAAAATGATTTAAACTACTAGTATATTGAACTATTAGTATATTATTGGAAATAAATAAAATCGAATTATATAAAAGTATAAGACACTGTACTTTATGTTTTCAATTCGCAGTAGGTATTGTGGTATCACCCGTATTGGATAATACGCGGTAAACCAACTTTTTACCTTACCCTCGTACGCTCTAGGCTAATGACTGTCTCTAGAATAAATTCAGATTAGCACTGTTAACCTTTGAGGTACGATGGTAGCGTTTTGTCAGTTCTTCGTTCGTTTCCTAAATTGGAATGACTATTAGGACGCCACAACCAGAGCACTGTTCAGTTTGTAATAAACCTCATTGACTATAGGTGTGTGGGTCTGAGCACTGTTCCAATATTAAAGGTAAGAACGAAGAAGACTTTGAAATAAAACTCAACTCGGGTTTTTAGGTCGGAAACACTTTTATTATATTAAAACAAACATAAATGAAACACTTAGCAAATTCGGATTGCCTAGCCCGTACTACGATCGACGTTTCACACGTACGACCACAGTACCTACGTCCTCGCTGATTCACTCAGCGACAACGGGACTCTCCCCTCGTGCCTGCGCGTGCGGCGGTGTTATATAGTAATCTTATCGCTGTCTCAGCACATATGCTTCACTGACCTATGTCAATAGTTTACAATTTAAAATGTTCCCACCTCTATTACATATATGAAATAATATTTTGACGACTGTCTACAATATACGACAGTCCCCATTGTTTTTTTAAAAAAATGCCCTCATTTTTAATGATGTTTCTACATACAAATGTCTTATTACTACATTAAATACTAATCTACTTTTACACTATATTACTGTCTCGGCTTATTCGCGTCGTTGACTATAAAATTATGCTTAAATGTTAGGTAATTTTAATCCTATTATTTTAATAATTTATTTTTTAACGCGTTGTTAGGGGAAAGAGAAGAAGAAGAAAAAAAATATATATATTACAAACATAATGAAAATAATAATTTAAACATTTATACAACTGAAAGCATCACAAGTGCAACCCGAATACATAAAAATAAAATCTAATGACAATATTACTATTGCAAAAAAAATCGAAGTCAAAATTAAAAATATATATCACAAGCAATGATATACTAACACAGTATAAAATAAATCCTACAGACCGCTTAGGCAGCGAAAAACATTTAATGCTAGAAACCCAGATAGTAGACTATTCTAACGAAGTAATCTTATACAATTATTCCAACGTATATAGTAATATTCCAAAAGGAATGACAATAGCCACAACTCACGAATTAAACATACAAAATAATTAACACTAATTACAACAATTTAAATTTAAAACAGATAAATCGATATTTTAACCGCCGTAATTATTTTATACTGTATAAAATTAACTCGGTATATTAATACAAAAAAAAAATCTCTACCTGTGGCAATATTATGTGAGGATCTAGAAACAATTAGAAACATATAATTCATAAATACATATTAATGATTAATAATTTTTTTATAACATAAATATAAATTGAGTTATATTTTACACTGTATTATAATGTATGAAATTTTTACTCAGAATATAGATACAAAAATTGATGTGAATACATATAAGGTTATAATAATTTATTGATTGGCTCTTTGTGGAAAATGTTTTCTTAGAGATTTTTCTCAGTTTGAAGTATAATCTTTTATTTAGACAAATAGCAGTAAATGATTGTTGTTCTTATACGGGATTTTGTTTTTTTTTTTTTATTGTGTGGTAGTTAATTCTTCTTCTCCTTTGTATTTGTAAGGTAAGTGTTTATTATCTTGCTTGTTTTAGTTTTTCTTCTTATAATCTGTATATATTTTTTTTTCTTTTTATTTATAATATATATTCTCGTATATTATTTTTCCAAACTTCTGTTTTGACTGCAGTCTCTTCCTTGTGTCTTCGTATGAAAAGGTATTTGCTTATTGTTTTTATAATTATTGGTTTAATGCTTATTGTCTACTTTGAAAATATTATATTCGCACTTTGTCTCAGAAGATTGTCGCGGCTTGATCTGTTGACTCGTTAATTTTTGATTATGCTGAAAATACATTCTATTTTTTTGTTTTTTATTTATATATATTTTTACACTTTTTTATTTTATAGAATTAATTTAACCTATATGTGACATATACTTAATTAACTTATTATTTTTTATTACTTAAATAAAAATAAAAATAAATATATATGAATATACGAATTTCATAATGTTACATAATTTCTTGTTTTACTATAATTTGATTAATTGTTCTCTTTTTTTTTTTTTTACATTATTAGTATTATTATTTATTTATTTTATTTAATTCTTCGTGGTATGGCTTTAGTCTATCTACGTGTATAGTATCCGTTGTTTCTTTTCCATTTAGTGTTAATGCAATTTTGTAATTTACGTCCGAAATTTTTTCTAATATTTCAAATGGGCCTCTGTATTTGTGCGCCAATTTTTTTGATTCTCCTTGTTTCTGGAATTTTATTTTTACTAGCACTTTTTGGCCGGGTTGGTATTCCACTTCCTTGTGGTTCTTGTCGTACTGTTTCTTTTGCTTAATTTGTTCTGCTTCTATTAATTTTGGTAATTCTTGCCTAATTTTTTGTAGTTGTATTATTTCTTCGATTCTATTATGGTCTGTTTCGGGTGGGATGATTTTGTTGTCTAGAGGTTGCGTTGCCTCCGTGCCGTACATTAGGTAGAATGGGGAGTAACCAAATCTTGCGTGTGGGTGTGTATTATACGCAAATATAATCATTTTATAATATAGTGCCCAATTTTTTTGGTTATTGTCGACGTAGTGTGTTAAGGCGTTGCATATAATTTTATTCATTAATTCGGTCATTCCGTTGCTCTGGGGGTGGTAACTAGTCGAAAAAATTTGAGTTATTCCTAATTTTTCACATATGTTTTTTACTTCGGTATTTTTGAAATGTGTACCTCTGTCGCTGACGAAGTATTTTGGTGTACCGTAGGTAGTTATTATGTCAAATAAAAAATCGATGGTCGCTGCTGCGTCTGCGTTTGTAACAGCCTTTGCAAAAACCATTTTGGTCGCGTTGCAAGTAGCCACTATTAAATATTTTTTACCTTTTGACATTGGTAATGGTCCTAAATAATCGAAACATAGTCTAGACATGGGTTTTGTGTCGGTTAACGGAATAGGTTGTAGTAAACCTGGCTTTTTACCATTTTGGTTTTTTGAAAATTGACATGACGCACATGTTTTTATGAATTTGTTTGTGTCTTGTATCATTGTCGGCCAGTAATATTTTTTCTTTAGTCTTGCTAATGTTTTGGT